GTATAATCTAGGTTCTTAGAGGGACTTCCTAAACCGTAAGTGAGAATTCTGATTTTCTTTAACATTTTCTCTTTATAGGGCTAGTCATCCCATTTACACAACCATTTGCTACACCTCAAGAATAACTGAAGATATTTTATATACATGGGGTCTCTCAAAAATTTTATGGAAGACAGATATTATGAACATTAGTTTCAATTTTTGAAACAAACATTTTGAAGTATCTGTTCTTCCTGCTGCTCCTATATTATTTAAGTATAAAATAACAAGTAAATATGTGATTATTAATAGTTTTGTAATATATCAATTTACTTCCATAAGAGACACAACTCAGAAATGAAGACTAAATCAAACTGGTAAAAGGCCCAGAGGTCCCCAGACATGAAATATCAATCCAAGCAAGGGCTTAGGAAATAAAAGTAGGAATTTGTGTTTAGAAACTAAGAAAATGGTAAAGGCATCAGATTCTTGGCACAGAAAACCCAATTATCCTACTTTTATAATTTATATAATATTTGGACAGATGAAACAATCACATATTGAGGTGTGAAAATGTAAACCAGAAACTGAATTCGATGTAAAGATCCTACAACTTGGAAGTCGGAAGCAAGGAGCACCAATGGGTGAGCTCTCCGTGAACAGGATCTGGGTACACTTGCTTTTCTCCTTTTCCTCTTCCAATGATATCAGAAAGTCCTTGGAGACTAGGGTAACATGGACCTATGGGCTAATTAGGAGCTCTGTGCCTTGAGCCCCCACCCACCCAGTCCTACAAGTGCAAATAATGAGCCAGTGACTTCAGAACTTGACTTGCCAGACAAATGCTGTGGCTCTGTACTCATGTTCAGTCCTCTTGAACATCTGTGTGTCAGGAGACCCAACCCGTCTGTCTTCCTCCCACCCCTGAGTACAGAACCTGAGGCTTCCCCGCATACCAGGCAAGAAGCAAACAGTGGACCCAGCTTGTTCTGCCATGCTTCAGTGAGTGCTGAGGGACACAGTGGAAGGAGGTGGGAATATCAGCCTTGATCTCCACATCTTTGGGACAAAGAGAACAATTGGAGTAGATGGATGGGAAGGAACCAGTGGGCAAAGTTCCAGCTTAGATAATTGTGAAGTTCACGTTCTTGGTTCTCAAGGGTCTCAAATTATTGAGCATTTTTCTTTCCTTCCACACTGATTCTTCTCACTAGATTCTTCTTCATGATAGGAGCAAATGAGTCTCTGAATTTCCGAGCACTCACACGTAATCATGAAGGTGAGGAGGAGGAGGATGCAGTAACCATAAAGTCTCCAACCTTACTGAGGGCTTCCTATGAGCCAGGCTCTGAATTCTAGATCCTATTCAATCTGCTTCTTCTCATCTATGTACTCCCCCACATTATGTTGCAGATGCTACTTTTGTTTTACAGAAGAGGAGAGGAGCACAATGTTTTTTGCAACTTGTACCAGGCTGTGATGTAGAAATGGGTGAAACCACAACTGAGTCAGGTTGTCTGACTGCAGACACGAGCATGCCCAGTCTCCCCCCTGACAACCCATCCATTCATCTCTCTTTCCTGTCACTCCAGGCTGACAGCCCTGCTCACCGTGCTTTGTCTTTGGGGTTTCTTGGTAAATCACAGCAGGCAGCAGTGGGACAAGGTGACTGAGCTCACAGAGAGAGCAGACATGGGATCAGAGTCTCTCTCCACCCCACCCCACACTTCAGTCATCCACTTTCTCCCCAACTCTTGTAATCACCTCATTTGATCTCAAAGAGAGACAAGATTGGGGTCTTGGGTTCCATTTCTATTGCCAAAACTGGGAACAATTTTAAAGGACCTTGTAGAACCTGTGGTTTGGATCTCTGGTTCTCTAACACTCCCTGATGGTTGGGAGAAAATGGGGGTCTTTGATAAATTGGATCCAGAGACTTTCAATGTCATTTTGACTCCTGCCTGCTCCACTGATGATTTCTGTGATGTAGGGCAGGTTTTCAGTACCCTGAGAATCTGCGTTGTCATCTGAGATGATGCCTCATTGATAGCACTTCACTGGGTAATTTTTGAACTGATAATAGATACATCCCAATCATCCAAAATCATTTTGGAGCATAGCCATACCCTCACAAATGTATTTGCTGTGTATTTGCTGAAGAACAGTCTTTCATTTCAGATTCCTCAGACACCAATCTGTTGCTTGGCACAGAGGAGGCATAAAAAAAGAAGTTAAATAATGAATAGACCTTACCTTGGCTCACAATAGCTGGCCATACTCAGTAACATGGGTCCTATAATCTCATCAGCAGCATCTGCAGCATTACTATTGTTTATAGTTATTCAAAAATCAAGGCAGAGGTTGTTTTATGTAGAATAAAAAAAACCCAGAGAAAGGGCAAACATGTTGTGTGGGTGAGACTCATTTTCAAGTTGGATATCATTGTAGCTTCCCGTGCCTTGGACAATGGTATACACTGACAAACTTGCTATCTCCATAATGAGAGAATTGTGTATTTTATATTTTTAAAAAATATTTATTTATTTGAGAGGTGGAATTATAGACAGAGAGGGAGTGACAGAGAAAGGTCTTCCATCTGCTGGTGCATGTCACAATGGCTAGAGCTGGGCCAATCCAAAAATTCAGGAGCCTCCCATATGGACACATGGACCCAAGTGCTTGGGTCACCTTCTACAGCCTTCCCAGGCCAGAACAGAGAGCTGAATCAGAAGAGGATCAGCTGGGACTTGAACCAGTGCCCAAATGGGATGTTGGCACCACAGGCAGAGGCTTAGTCTACTCTGTCACAGTGCCAGCCCCAAATTCTGTGTTTTAAAATGTCACAATGACCAAATATTTTGGTTCTAAACTTCCTTAGATGCTATGCCTGTCATAGATATGTGTGTTCTTCTTCCTGTATCCAGTAGACAATACAAGCACACAGGGGTGCAGAGATTCTCACGCATTGTGCCTGTAGTGGGTGAATGATCTGGGATGGAAACATTGATTTCCTCACCCCTTCTCAGAGCACTGTCTCCTTCACTGGAGTCAAATGGAAATATTATTCTGTCTACAAGATGAAACATCTCAGTGAGTAATCATGGGGGGATTATGACTAGATATAACCCAGGGATATATATTCAATGGTATATCTTAATAAGAGGATGTAAGTTGATTACAATTGTTTTATTGGGGCAGCAGATGTAAATGATTAATAGTAAAATTGCCTGTGCACTGAATATTGCAACTCAAACAACTCTATTCCATGCACATATCTTATAGCTATTCTCATTTGTGTGATATGGAGACAAGAATTTTTGAAAGATTGTCAGAATAAATAGACAAATGAAATGATGTTCCTCTCTCAGGTAAGGACAGGAAACAATCAAAGTATATGAAGGAGACATGAGCACTTCACAGAGAGACTTAAACCCAAACATCAATGTATGCTTGTACATTTCATGGGCAAGAGGTATAGAATTCTACTCAGATGAGCTTCAAGCACTTTGCAGGTAAGTTTTAGAGAAAACTATTTAGGGATGCAGAAATTACTGCTGACTCAGAGGGGCAGGCATTGTGATAAAGTAGGTTAAGCTACTTCATCCATATTACATTGGCTTACTCTTCCTCCAATTCAGCCTCTTGCTAATATGCCTGGGAGGCAGCAGATGATGGTCCAATTACTTTGGTTCCTGCTACTTGTGTGGGAGACATGGATGGGGTTCCTTATTCCTGGCTTTGGCCTGGCACAGCCCCAGCTGTTGTAGGGATTTGGGGAATGAACCAGAGGATGGAAGATCAGTCTCTATCATTTTTACTCCAGATCTCTCTGCCTTTTGAATAAAATAACAGAAATCTAATAACATAGTTAAAAAATTTTTCTTACAACAGCTCTACAAGGGAGATAATTATTATTGCTATTTTACAGAGGTGGTAACTATTGAGTATCTTTACATTGTTTTCTGGAATTCTGTTTCACATTTTTTCAGCATTCAATGACAGTATAACCTAGCAAAATAATAAACTAACATTGCCTTTAGGCAGCTGAAGTTAGAAAAATTCATGTACCAGGAAGTGGTGACATAAAAATCCTTGAATTATGCATAGGAAGTTTGGGACTCAGAGCTGTCTTTGGAGCTTTCCTGATATCACTCACCTCAAATGGTTTATGATCAGAAAAACAACCAAGCAGTATTGCCAGGCCATTAAGTGACACATAAGAAAAAATTTAAAAATGTTCAAAGTAAAAAGCTCTCATATATCAGGCATTTATTAAGATTCTCAGGGGACCATACAAAGAAACCTGTAGAAAATTTAAAAAATTCAAGTAGTTCTTAATAGTTCACTGTTTCTAATCATTGACAGGTCCAGAATGCACTATTGTTCCAATGGTGGTCATTGAGTTCACATGACTATGTGTATTTGACAATGACTTTTATGAAAATTTGAAGTCCACCAAAGCTAAGGACTGGAGTTATATATTAAATGGCACTAAGAGGCAAAAAGGAGTGAGTGTAAATAGCATAGTGGTTAAGGTGCCACCTCCCACACAGTACCTAGGGTTGATGACTGGCCCTGTTTCCTGACTCTTGCTTCCTGTGAATACAGATCCTGGCAGGCAGTGGTCAGATGGTTGAGTCTCTACCCAGGGGAGACCTGGATTGAGATAGGATTAAGAACTCACAATTTCTACCTTGTTCCAGCCACAGCCATCACAGGCATCTGTGGAGTGAAGCAGTGGATGAGAGTATTCTTTCTCTCTAAGCAAATGAGTTAAACAATATTAGAGTGAGCACATACATCCACGAAGGAGGGGAGTCAGAAAAGCCAGGAATGGGTAGATCCCTGGAAGACAACAGACACACAACAGTATTTCCTGGTTGTGAACAATCAATGTTAGTTTGGGGTTCAGACAATACATTTGTAGCTTTATAGATGACTTATAAAAATTGTGACTGAAAGGAATTTGTTCCATTGTCTTAAAAAAAAGGCATATTTAACTGTTTTTAAATTTCCTTTAATTAGACTGTTTGTCATAAATACTAGATTGCATTAGACTCTGAACATAGACTTGTTAGTTCTAATGTTCTTGGCTTTCTAAAATTTGTGAGACTCTTTAAGGCTTTTACATAGAGAGAGGTAGCTCAGACACCAATCATAAAAGATCTCTCAGAAGACTGAGTTTGTCACCATTGAGAAAGATGACAGAATTTGGTTACCGAGTGTGAATATGAAAGTGGAGTTCCAGAAGCTACTGGAAAATTTGTATCATGCAAAAAATGCATGAATTTCACAACTGTATTACAACAAGAAAACCCTTTTCTTTGAATTCAACTTATTCTGTGAACACTAGCGTTACCCTCATGCTATACCCATACAAACTTGACTTGAAGACATAAAGAGTGCTGGGTGCCTGTTTATCTGTTTCCTTTTACCAATCCTACTTTCCTTTCCAAAAGGAGTCCAGGTTGTTTTGAAACACAAAATCTCACACAAGTCTCAGAATTTCATCTCATGGGCTTCTCAGAAGATCCAGCCTTGCAGCTTCTCCTCTTTGTGCTGTTCCTGTCCATGTACCTGATCACGCTGCTCGGGAACCTGCTCATCGCCCTGGCCATCAGCTCAGACTCCCACCTCCAGACCCCCATGTATTTCTTCCTCTGCAACCTGTCCTTGGCTGATGTGGGTTTCACTTCCACCACGATTCCCAAGATGATTGTGGACATCCACACTCACAGCACAGTCATCTCCTATGTGGGCTGCCTGACACAGATGTCTCTCTTTATTATCTTTGGGTGCATGGGTGATTTGCTTCTGACTGTGATGGCCTATGACCGGTTTGTTGCCATTTGTCATCCATTGTATTACCAGGTCATCATGAACCCCTGCCGCTGTGGCTTCTTGGTTTCAGTGTCAGTTGTGGCCAGCCTTTTGGAATCCCTGCTGCAGAATTTGATGCTATTAAGAGCTACCTGCTTCAAAGATGTTGACATTTCTAATTTCTTCTGTGAACCTTCCCAGCTTCTCACTCTTGCTTTCTCTGACACTTTCACTCATGACATAGCCATATATTTTGTTGGCATCATATATGGTTTTCTCCCTATCTCAGGGATTCTCTACTCTTACTACAAAATCATTTCCTCCGTTCTGAGAGTCCCATCAGCTGGTGGGAAGTACAAAGCCTTCTCCACCTGTGGCTCTCACGTGACTGTTGTATGTTTATTTTATGGAACATCCCTTGGGGTGTATCTCAGTTCAGCAGCCTCACTTTCTTCCAGGAAGTGTGCAGTGGCCTCAGTGATGTACACTGTGGTCATCCCCATGCTCAACCCCTTTATCTACAGCCTGAGGAACAGGGACATCAAGAGGGCCATTTGGAGACTTCTCAGTCAGCAAGCTATTTAGAGCACAGATTGGAAGGCAGCAAAACTCAGCATCCAGACCCTAATATCTCACCTGGTTCATCACATCACACTTGAGGCTCTCATGGCTTTCATGCATCTTCTTTTGTAACTGAGATTTCCTGTTTTGCTCTTTCTTTATGGAAGCATTATATCTTTACCCTTGCATACCTGACCCATATTGTACCTATGGAGCCTTCTGTAGTTCGTTATGGACAATCCAGGTATCCTGGAAAATGAAAATATACTTTGCCTTTTTGTTATTTAAAATTGATATCTGGGCCAGCCCTGTGGCTCAATAGGCTAATCCTCCACCTTGCGGCGCCAGCACACTGGGTTGTAGTCCCAGTCGGGTCGCCGGAGTCTGTTCTGGTTGCCCCTCTTCCAGGCCAGCTCTCTGCTGTGGCCTGGTAGTGCAGTGGAGGATGGCCCAGGTGCTTGGGTCCTGCACCCCATGAAGGACCAGGAGAAGCACCTGGCTCCTGCCTTTGGACAGTGCAGTGCACCGGCTGCAGCACGCCAGCTGCAGTGGCCATTGGAGGGTGAACCAAAGGCAAAAAGGAAGACCTTTATAAAAAAATAAAAAAAGAATTGATATCTGTTCCATAATTTTAATGTACTTTCCACTCACATTTCCATTCTTATCCTTGTAACTTATTTGACCTCGTTATCCGTGAGGATGCATATCACTGCTCCTTTTTATGAAACCCTCTAAGGAACTTTAACAATTCTGTTGCCTGGATTTCACTACCAGAGGTTCTGATGTCTTGAACTGATGTGTGGTCTGAGTATGGAAATTTCCAAGCACCCAGGATAAGCTGAAAAGTTTGCTGACAGTTCATTAGTAACTTGATTTTATGTGATGAGTCATGTTTCCCTTGCTATTTCCATGATTTTCTCTTTGTTATTTTTACAGTTTAGTTATAATTTGTGTTGAATGTGTTATAATTGGGGTTCATGGAGCTTAAATGTGTATGTCCACTTCTTTCTTCAAATTTGGGAAGTTTCCAATTGCAGTCATTATCTCTTCAAACTGGTGCACTTGCACTCTCTCTCTCCTTTCTGTAGACCTCCCACAATACATATACTTGTCTGCTTGTGTTATCCCATAATATCTTTCCAATAAATAAAAGCCCAGGACCAAATGGCTTCACTGCTGAATTCTATCAGATATTTAATGAGGAATTAATCTCAAATCTATTCAAGACATTCAAAGCAGTTGAAAGGGAGGGAATCGTCCCAAACTTCTTCTATGAGGCCAACATCACCTTAATTCTTAAACCAGAAAAAGATACAACAAAGAATTATCGATCAATACCCTTGAGGAATGTAGATGCAAAAGTCCTCGACAAAATACTAACTAAATGAATCCAACAACACATCAGAAAGAACATTCACCCAGATCAAGTGGGATTTATCCCTGGTATGCAGGGTGGTTCAATATTCAAAAAGGAATAAATGTGATATATGTCACATTAACAAACTGAAGAACAAAAGCCATACGATGATCTCAATAGATGCAGAGATAGCATTTGCTAAAATACAACACCCTTTCATGATGGAAACCTTAAGCAAATTGTGTATGGAAGGAACACTCCTCAACAGAATCAAGGCAATATATGACAAATCCACAGCCAGCATTTTATTGAATGAGGAAAAGTTGGAAGCATTCCAACTATGATCTGGAAACAGATAAGGATGCCCATTCTCACCACTGCTATTCAATAAAGTTTCAACCAGAGCCATTAGCCAAGAAAAAGAAATCACAGGGATGACAATTGGGAAGGAGGAAGTCAAACTATACCTATGTGCAGATGACATGGTTCTATATATAGGGAACAAAAGACTCACTAAGAGACTATTGGAACTCATAAAAGAGTTTATAAAGTGGCAGGATACTAAATTTTTTTTGGTATTTTTTTAACTTTTATTTAATGAATATAAATTTCCAAAGTACAGAATATGGATTACAATAGCTTCCCCCCCATAACGTCCCTCCCACCCGCGACCCTCCCCTTTCCCATTCCCTCTCCCCTTCCATTCACATGAGGATTCATTTTCAATTCTCTTTATATACAGAAGATCAGTTTAGCATACATTAAGTAAAGATTTCAACAGTTTGTTCCCATACAGAAACATAAAGTGAAAGATAATAGATGATTTTTTAAATGATGATGAAATCAGATCAGACCTATTGTTATGTTTAATCCCAGTGAGAGTCAAGTTGGGAATTGATAATTTCTTCTTTTTTTTAACAGAAGATCAGTTTAGTATACATTAGGTAAAGATTTCAACAGTTTGCACCCCCATAGAAACACTAAGTGAAATATACTGTTTGAGTACTTGTTATAGCATTAAGCCTCAATGTACAGCACATTAAGGACAGACATCCTACATGAGGAGTAAGTGCACAGTGACTCCTGTTGTTGACTTTACAAATTGACACTCCTGTTTATGGCATCAGTAATCTCCCTATGCACCAGTCATGAGTTTCCAAGGCTATGGAAGCCCCTTGAGTTCTCCGACTCTTATCTTGTTTAGACACGGTCATAGTCAAAGTGGAGGTTCTCTACTCCCTTCAGAGAAAGGTACCTCCTTCTTTGAAGACCTGTTCTTTCCGCTGGGATCTCACTCACAGAGATCTTTCATTTAGTTTTTTTTTTTTTTTTTTTTTTTGCCAGAGTGTCTTGGCTTTCCATGCCTGAAATACTCTCATGGGCTTTTCAGACAGATCCGAATGCTTTTAGGGCTGATTCTGAGGCCAGAGTGCTGTTTAGGACATCTCCCATTCTATGAGTCTGCTGAGTATCTCGCTTCCCATGTTGGATCACTCTCCCCTTTATTTATTCTATCGGTTATTATTAGCAGGTACTAGACTTGTTTATGTGCTCCCTTTGACTCTTAGTCCTTTCATTATGATCATTGTGAACTGAAATTGATCACTTGGACTAGTGAGATGGCACTGGTAAATGCCACCTTGATGGGATTAAATTGGAGTCCCCTGGTATGTTTCTAACTCTACCATTTGGGGCAAGTCAGCTTGAGCATGTCCCAAATTGTACATCTCTTCCCTCTCTTATCCCCACTCTTATGTTTAACAGGGATCACATTTCAGTTAATTTTCAACACTTAAGAATAACTGTGTATTAATTACAGAATTAAACAAGTCATATTAAGTAGAACAGACAAAAAAACTACTAAGAGGGATAATGTATTAAGTTGTTCATTAAGAGTCAGGGCTATGTTGATCAAGTCACCATTTCTCATAGTGTTCATTTCACTTCAACAGGTTTCCTTTTTGGTGTTCAGTCAGTTGTCACCGATCAGGGAGAACATATGGTATTTGTCCCTTTGGGACTGGCTTATTTCACTCAGCATGATGTGTTCCAGATTCCTCCATTTTGTTGCAAATGACTGGATTTCATTGTTTCTTACTGCAGTATAATATTCTAAAGAGTACATATCCCATAATTTCTTTATCCAGTCTACCGTTGATGGGCATTTAGGTTGGTTCCAGGTCTTGGCTATTGTGAATTGTGCTGCAATAAACATTAGGTTGCAGACCGCTTTTTTGTTTGCCAATTTAAATTCCTTTGGGTAAATTCCAAGGAGTGGGATGGCTGGGTCGAACGGTAGGGTTATCTTCAGGTTTCTGAGGAATCTCCAGACTCACTTCCATAGTGGCTTGACCAGTTTGCATTCCCACCAACAGTGGGTTAGTGTCCCTTTTTCCCCACATCCTCGCCAGCATCTGTTGTTGGTAGATTTCTGAATGTGAGCCATTCTAACCGGGGTGAGGTGAAACCTCATTGTGGTTTTGATTTGCATTTCCCTGATTGCTAGTGACCTTGAACATTTTTTCATGTGCCTGTTGGCCATTTGGATTTCCTCTTTTGAAAAATGTCTATTGAAGTCCTTGGCCCATCTCTTAAGTGGGTTGTTGGTTTTGTTTTTGTGGAGTTTCTTGATCTCTTTGTAGATTCTGGTTATTAACCCTTTATCTGTTGCATAGTTTGCAAATATTTTTTCCCATTCTGTCGGTTGTCTCTTCACTCTCCTGACTGTTTCTTTTGCAGTACAGAAACTTCTCAATTTGATGCAATCCCAATAGTTGATTTTGGCTTTGACTGCCTGTGTCTCCCGGGTCTTTTCCAGAAACTCTTTGCCTGTGCCAATATCTTGAAGGGTTTCTCCAATGTTCTCTAATAACTTGATGGTGTCAGGTTGTAGATTTAGGTCTTTAATCCATGTTGAGTGGATTTTTGTGTAAGGTGTAAGGTAGGGGTCTTGCTTCATGCTTCTGTATGTGGAAATCCAGTTTTCCCAGCACCATTTACTGAATAGACTGTCCTTGCTCCAGGAATTGTTTTTAGATCCTTGATCAAATATAAGTTGGCTGTAGATGTTTGGGTTGATTTCTGGTGTTTCAATTCTGTTCCATTGGTCTATCCATCTGTTTCTGTACCAGTACCATGCTGTTTTGATTACAACTGCCCTGTAGTATGTCCTGAAATCTGGTATTGTGATGCCTTCAGCTTTGTTTTTGTTGTACAAGATTGCTTTAGCTATTCGAGGTCTCTTGTGCCTCCATATAAATTTCAGCACCATTTTTTCCAGATCTGAGAAGAAGGTCTTCGGTATCTTGATTGGTATTGCATTGAATCTATAAATTCCTTTTGGGAGAATGGACATTTTGATGATATTGATTCTTCCAATCTATGAGCATGGAAGATTCTGTTATCTAGCAGAGAGCTAGATAAAAAGTGGAGCAGCCAGAACTTGAACAGGTGACCCTATGGGATGCTGGTGCTGCAGGCTGTGAGTTGACCTGCTATGCCACAGCACTGGCCCCTACAATGTTTCTTAGTCTGAATGTTTTCATGTCTATTTACTGTATCGCAAGGTTAAATGAAGATATTTATATATATATATATATATATATATATATATATATATGGGATCCTTCAAAAACGTGAGGGAAACAAACTTTGAAATTTGTTTTCATCCTGCCTTTCCACAAACTTCTAGAAGTATCCCCAGCCTTTCTTACTGCTGCACTAAGCATAAGATATCAAATAAATGTGTAATTATCAATAACTTGGTAATATATATTCAATCCTAGAAACAATTGAGAAAAAGCCAGGTAAATGATTAAAATGCCCATAAACTTTAACAATTAAATGCCAGCTCAAACAAGGGCTTAGGAAATGAATATAGGAAATTGTCTTTAGAGACTCTTGCTAACTGAGAAAATGCAGATAGTCTCAGATTCTTGGCATAGAAAATGGAATTCTCCATGCTTTTCATATTGCTGCAATGGACTCAAAGAATCACATTGGGATTTGTGAACATGGAGGACAGAAGTCTGAATTTTATGTAAAGATCCTGCATCTTGGAATTCAGCAGCAAGAAGCAGAGGTGAGCAGTCCTTGGAGAACATTACAGGTGCACTTTTCTATTTCTCTCCTATTTGCATCAGCAAGTCATCAGAGACTGGGCTACATGGGCCTACAGGTTAATTAGGAGCTCTGTGCATTGAGCCCCCGAGGTCCTCCAGCACAAATGATGAGCAGAGCCTCCAGACCGTGACATTGCACTGGAAATATAATGGCCACTCCTCCCCATGTGAGTGTCTGCATCACAAAGCCCCAGACTGAGTCTGTCTCCTTCCCTGTCCTGATTCCAAAGCCTGAGGCTCCCTTGAACTCCAGGCAGAAGAGCAGCAGTGGAGCCATCACCCTTGGTCATGACTCTGCTCAGACTCAGCACAGCCCAGTAAGTGCCGAGGGAGACAGTGGAAGTTGATGGGGCTGTCAGGAACACTGCTGCTTCATTATTAGGACAAGCATGACAGCTGGGCTAGACAGCTGTGAGGGAAACCATAGACAGTTTCAGCTCAGAGGCCTGTGCCAGTTTATGTTCTTGGTTCTCATCAGGGTCTGAGATTTCTCATTTTGAATTTTTCCCTCCCACAGTGATTCTCAGTCCCACTGGCAGACCCTTCATGACAGCAGCCTGTGCATACCTAAAACTGTCCCCTGAGCACTCAGCAATGTCATGAAGGTGATGGTGAGGAGGAGTGGGAGGATGCCGTGACCCTAACATCACACAGCTTTATTGAGGGCTTCCTAAGTGCCAGGCTCTGAACCCTAGGTTCTAAGTAGCTTCTTTCATTTCATCAACATAAAACCATGTTCCATTGCCCATATTATTTTTATCTTACAGAAGAGGTGAGGAGCCCTGAGTTTTTGTGTAACTTGTGTGAAGCTGTGGGGTAGAAATGGGTGAAATCATGTTGGAGACAAGTCGGTAGTCTGACTGTAGACATGAAGAGCATGTCTAGTATTCCCCTCTGACATAGCAGCCATCTCTTTCTCTTTCCTGTCACACCAGGATGGGACCCCAGTTCATTGTGATCTCTCTTTGGGGTTTCTTGGTAGATCACAGTGGGCAGCAGTAGGTAAAGTATGGTTGAGTTCAAAGGGAAAGATCACAGAAAGACTACAGGATCATTTTGGGGATTCCCTCTCTCTCTCTCTCGATCCCATTTCAAGTTTTCACCTCAGCCATCCACTTTGTCCCCAACTCTTGCAATCACTCAATCTGAGAAAGAGGCATACAGTTTGGGTCTTGGGTTCCAAGACCAAGGAATTAATTAGCATTGCCTTTAGGCAGCTGAAGTTAGAGAACTGTAATCCAACTATCAGGAAGGGGTGTCATGACAATCTTTGAATTCTACATACGATGATGGGAACTCAAAGCTGGTGCTGGGTCTTCCCTAATCTCCTCACTTCAGCTACAGGCAAGGCTTATGATCAGAAAAACAATAAAGCAGAATGACCAGGCCATGAAAGGAAACAGAACAAAAGCTTTAAACTTGTTTAAAGCAAAAATCTCTTATATAGCAGTTTTTTTTTCTAAAAACACCTGAGGTTATAAGGGGTGTATATTAAAAAAATTAGAAAAATTCAGGTGGCCCTTAAAGTTCATTATTCTATATCATTGTCAGGTGCCTAGTGTAGCAGTGTTACATATGTGGTCACTGATATTACATGATTATATGTACACACATAAACTATTTTTATCAAGATTTGAAGTCCACAAAACAAATGAAAGGAGTTATATATTAAAGGATGCTAAAAGACAAATGGGAGTGGGCATATAGAATTGTGGTTAAGATGCCCGCCTCCCACACTGGCACCCCTGGGTTGGATTCCAGGATCTGGCCCCTCACTCCAGCTTCCTGCTACTGCAGATGATAGGAAGTAGTGGTGATGATCAGATATTGGGGTTACTGCCACACATGTGGAAGACCTGGATTGAATTCCATCTCCCAAAGCTTCTGCATGGGAAACGTGACAGTTCACTGGGGCAGTGAACCAGTGGAGGGAAACTCTCAAATCTCTATCCGCCTGTGTCTCTGCCTCTCAAAACAAGCAGGTACATGATACTTGAATGACTACTTCCATCTACAGAGGAGGGCAATCAGAAGAGCTAAGAATGATAAAACCCTAGAGGGCAACTGACACCCAGCAATATTTCCTGATTGTGAATACCCAACTTTAATTTGGTGATTATATAATGCAATTCTAGCTCTTAAGGTTATTATAGTTTGTTCAAGTAAACTATACTGTTGGTTACAAGAAAATAAGGTATATAGCACACTGTTAGCAAGAATGTTTTTCTAAACAGGGAAAAGACACTTTTTATTCTTCCTTTTTAAAAACAAAGGGCGCTTCACCAAATGAAAATTTAGCAAGTAGGAAAGCAAAATCCCTAGTTTAACAGCAATATAGGCAAGTGCTATAAATAGTAATTGAATGGAAAGATGACCATTTCACCCATAGATAGTAAGTGTTAAAGTAATCACTGATCATTAAAAGTATAGTAGTATAACATAATGTCGATTACAAATATATTATCTCAAAAAGGAAAGAAAATTAGCGAGGGAGGGAATGAAGAGTGAATATTATTATATTGTATCTATGAACTAAATTAAATCTGCTAAAAACTAAAAAACTAAAAATGAATTCAAAGAATAAGTTACAATTGACTGTGATCATGGACTTAGTCCTTCTAATGTTTATGGTCTTTTAAAATTTTTCATTTGAGTGTCTCTAAAGTAGATGTGCATGGAAGGAGGTGAGTAACATGGAAACCAATCATGAAACACCCTAAGAAGCCTGAATATGTCATGGCTGAGAAGACTGGAAGTTATATGCTCACCAGTGTGAATAAGATGGGGGAAACACATCATAAAAAATTATGAATTTCAAAATTATATAGCACCAAATAACATTTTCTTTTAATTCTGTTCATTGTATCAACCTTCGAGTTACTCTTGAACTACATCTATGACTAGTAGATTTGAAAACATATACAGAGTGCTGGATGCCTGTTTATCTGTTTCCTTTTACCAACACTATTTTCTTTTCCAGAAGGAATGCAGGTTATATTGAAACACAAAATCTTACACGTGTCTCAGAATTCCATCTCTTGGGATTCTCGGAGGATCCAGACCTACAGCTCCTCATTTTCGTGCTGTTCCTGTTCATGTACCTGGTCACAGTGCTTGGGAATCTGCTCATCATCCTGGCTGTCAGCTCAGACTCCCACCTCCACACCCCCATGTACTTCTTCCTCTGCAACCTATCCTTGGCTGATGTGGGTCTCACCTCCACCACGGTTCCCAAGGTGATTGTGGACATCCACACTCACAGCATAGTCATCTCCTATGTGGGCTGCCTGACACAGATGTCTTTTTCCATCACCTTTGGATGCATGGATGATTTGATTCTGACAGTGATGGCCTATGACAGGTTTGTTGCCATCTGCCACCCTCTTCATTACCAGGTCATCATGAACCCCCAACGCTGCGGTTTCTTAGTTTCAGTGTCGGTTGTGGCCAGCCTTTTGGATTCCCTGCTGCACAGTTTGATGGTTTTGCAAGTTACCTGCTTCAAGGATGTTGAAATTTCCAGTTTCTTCTGTGACCCTTCTCAGCTTCTCAACCTCACCTGCCTTGACATGATCACCCATGACATATTCATATGTTTTGTTGGTGTCGTATATGCTTTTCTCCCTATGTCAGCACTCTTCTTCTCTTATTATAAAATCATTTCCTCCATTCTGAGGGTCCCATCAGCAGGTGGGAAGTACAAAGCCTTCTCCACCTGTGGCTCTCATCTGACAGTTGTTTGCTTATTTTATGGAACAGCTATTGGGGTGTATCTTAGTTCAGCAGCCTCACTTTCTCCAAAGACGTGTGCAGTGGCCTCGATGGTGTACAGTGTGGTCACCCCCATGCTCAACCCCTTTATCTACAGCCTGAGGAACATGGACATCAAGAGGGCCATCTGGAGGCTCCTCAGCAACACAGTCTCTGTGCCGTGCATTTGAGTACTGGTTGGAAAAGCAGCAAAGCTTAGTTCTAGAACTACACATCTCACCTCCCTCATTCCATGGTATTTGAGGCTCTTGTTCTCACCATTTTTTTATATTTTATTTTATTTAATGAACATATGTTTCCAAAGTACAGCTTATGGTTTACAATAACTCCCCCCCATAACTTCCCTCCCACCCACAACACTCCCCTCTCCCACTTCCTCTCCCCTTCCATTCACATCAAGATTAATTTTCAATAATCTTTAAATACAGAAGATTAATTTAGCATATATTAAGTAAAGATGGTCCAGGTCCTTGGTCTCCTGTACCTGGTGGGAGCCCAGGAAGAAGCACCTGGCTCCTGGCTTTGGATTGGCGCAGCTCCATGTGTTGAAGCCAACTGGGGAGAAAACCATAGGATGGAAGGCCTCTCTGTCTGTCTGTTTGTCTCTCTCTGCCTCTCCTCTTTCTCTGTGTAACTCTTTCAAACAAATAAATTAATTAAAAAAAACTTGTGGAAGATACATATCATGAAACAATATAGGAATTTCAAAATCATACTGCACCAAGACAACTTTTCATTTCATTTATTCCACACACCTGAGAGTTACCTTTGTGTTATACCCATGACCAGCTGAATTGACAATATATACAAGTGCTATGTGACCGTTCATCTGCATCATTTTACCAACACTGTTTTCTCTTCCAGAAGGAGTAGGGGTTATACTGAAAAACAAAATCTCACACATGTCTCAGAATTCCATCTTAGAGGATCGAGACTTGCAGCCCCTCATTTTGGTGCTGTTCCTGTCCATGTACCAGGTCACTGAGCATGCGAACCTGCTCATCATCCTGGCCATCAGCTCAGACTCCCACCTCCATTCCCCAATGTACTTCTTCCTCTGCAGCCTCTCCTTGGCTAACATGGGTTTCACCTCCTCCACATTTCCTAAGATGATTGTGGATGTCCATACTCACAGCACAGTCATCTCCTATGTGGGCTGCCTGTCGCACATGTCTCTCTTCATCATCTATGGTTGCATGGATTTTTTGATTCTGAATATCATGGCCTGACCAGTTTGTTGCCATCTGCCATCCTCTTCATTACCAGGTCATCATGAACCCCCAACGCTCTCTTTTGTGGCTAGTCTTTTGGATTCCCTGCTGCACAGTTTGATGGTCTTGCAAGTTATCTGCTTCAAGGATGTTGAAATTTCCAGTTTCTTCTATGACCTTTCTCAGCTTCTCAACCTCACCTGCCTTGACACCATCACCCATGACATATACGTTTATTTTACTGGCATCATGTAGGTTTTTTCCCCACTCAGGGATCCTTTACTCTTACTGTGAAAGTATTTGCTACATTGTGAGAGACCCATCACTATCTAGGAAGTACAAAGTCTTCTCCACCTGTGACTCTCACCTGTTGGTTGTTTCCTTGCTTTATGGAACAGGCCTTGGGGTGTACCTGATTTCAGCTTTCTCACTTTCTCCCTGGAAGTGTGCAGTGGCCTCAGTGGTGTACAGAGTGGTCACTCCCACAGTCTGAGGAGCAGGGACATCGAGAGCACTATGCAGAGGCTCCTCAATAAAACAGTCTAATTTCAGTCCCTGTGCCCTACCTTGGATGGGAGGTTGGACAAGAAAGCCAAACTAGACATCTAAGGGCTGGAGCTGTGTTGCAGCAGGTTATTGCCCTGGCCTCAAGTGCTGGCACCTCATATGGGCACTAGTTTGAGACCAAGCTGCTCCACTTCCCATCCAGCTCTCTACCATGGGCTGGGAAAGCAGTAGATGATGGCCCAAGTGCTTGGGCCCCTGTACCCACATGGGAGATCCAAAAGAAGCTCCTGGCTCCTGGCTTCTGATCGGCATAGCTCTGGCTGTTGTGGCCAATGAGAAGTGAACCATAGGATAGAAGACCTCTCTCTCTTTCTGCCTCTCTTTCTCTGTGTAACTCTTTCAAATAAATAAATACATCTTAAAAAAAAACTAGACATCTAGACACAAGAATCTCACCTCTCTCATGTTTGAGACTCTCGTGGCTTTCATCATTCTCCTCATTTCCTAAAGAAAATACATTCTGATGGGAAATGACTACTTACTTGATGAGGAAACACCAGAAGCCAGTGGGAAGCCAGTTTGGGCACAGAATGGTTAACGCTGTCTGTGACATCATAGATTGTGTGGGAAGAAGGGAAACCATGGTTCCTCCTTTGGACTATATGATCATGGATACACCATGCAGCAGTATGATAGACACTGTGTAACTAGCACAATACAGAGAAACATCTGTCTATATGGCAGTTATTCTGTAGGAACATTTGTCTGAGAGCAGATGGTTTATGGGTTGTGTAACATGCTGGGAAGAAGAAAAATATATATGCAATCTTGTCGTGCTTCGAGAACGTCAAAAGTACTCTTTAGTCTCTAAAGTGCTCAACAACAGCACAGGCAATCACAGCCAAATAGACAAATGGGATTGCATCAAGCTGAGAAGCTTCTCCACTGCAGAAGAAACAACAAAGTGAAGAGGCAACTTATAGAATGGAAGAAAATATTTGCAAACTATGAAACTGATAAAGGATTAATATCCAGAATCTACACAGAGCTCAAGAACCTCAACAACAAAGCAATCCAGTTGAGAAATGGTCAAAGAACTTGAACATGCATTTTTCAAGAGAGGAAACTCAAATGGCCAACAGACACATGAAAAATATGCTCAGGATCACTAGCATTCAGGGAAATGCAAATCAAAACCACAATGAGGCCTTACCTCAGCTCTGTTAGAATGGTACTCCTACAGAAATGAACAAACAGTAAGTGCTGGTGAGGATGTAGGGAAAAATGTACCCTAATCTCTTGGTGGGAATGTAAACTAGTACAGCCATGTGAAAGTCAGTGTGGAGATACCTCAGAGAGCGGAAAACAGATATGCCTTATGACCTAGCAATCCCACTGCTGGGAATTTACTCAAATGAAATGAAATCAGCATATGTAAGAGTTATCAGTACCCTTATGTTTATTGCAGCTCAATTCACAATAAGACAGCGAATCAACCAGATGTCCATCAACTGATGACTGGACAAAGAAATTGTGGTAAATATCCACTATGGAGAACTATTCATCTGTAATACAGGATGAAATTCTGTCATTTGCAACCAAATGGATGCAACTTGAAACCACTATACTTAGTGAGATAAGCTAGTCCCAGAAAAGACAGATACATGTTTTCTCTCATCTGTGGTAATAGAGTACCAAAAATGCAATGTATAGAAAACAAATTGACATTTTGAACTTTAACAATTGTTTACAGCCCTTGTATTTACTGTTGAGGAACAGGTTTTTTTCTTATTATTGGTTGAAATATAATGTTATGAATATAAAGTAAACTGTAGATTATTGTAAAAATTAAGAGAAGGATTAGGAGAAGAAGGAAGAGGAAGTGTGGGAGTATGGGTAGGAGGGAGGGCAGGCTAGGAAGTATCACTATGTTCCTAAATCTGTATATATGAAATGTGTATACCTTAAGCAAAATTTAAAAAGCAATAAAAATAAAAAAGAACTTATGAGAAAGACATCAACCTGTATAATCAGTCTTTAAGATGCTGGTCCCAGGAGAAGGTGTTTTGCACAGCAGTTAAGATGCCACTTGGGATGCAGGCATCCCATAACTGAGTGCCTGGATTTGAGCCCTAGCTCTACTTCCATTGTCTGCTTCTTGCTAACGTGCACCCTGAGGTGAAGCAGAGAATGGCTCAGGTTTTTCTGTCTCCACTACCTACATGGGAATTCCTGGGTTTGTCTGGCTCAGCCTGGCTCTTATGGGCATTTGGGAGTGATTCAGTCAATGGAAATTCTCTCCCTCTCTGTCCTTGTCTCATTTTGCCATTCAAATGAAACAAAGACCATCCTGAGGAGAGAGCCTCAGGCCTCATTGCCCAGTGGGCATGAAGGGGCAATGGACACTCACTCCCTAGTCATGCCCCTCAGCAAGGGAGCCCAGTGAGAGGCCTGCATCCTTGAGCAGAGTGTGTGGGTTACAATCACAGCCCCAGTTCCAATTCCCACCTCCTGCTAATGCACACACTGTGGGGTAGCAGGTGAGAGCTTAAGCAGTGGGGTTCCTGCAACCCATGTTTGGAACTGGGTTGAGTTTTTAGATCCAGGCTTAAGCCAGAGCCATAACCAGCTGTTGTGAGCATTTGGGGAGTGAACAATAGATGGAAATTCTATGTATCTCTTTGTCTGTCTCTGCCACTTAAATATTAATAAATATGATTTAATGCTATAACTAGTACTCAAACAGTATTTTTCACTTTATGTTTCTGTGTGGGAGCAAACTGTTGAAATCTTTATTTAATGTATGCTAAACTGATCTTCTGTATATAAAGAGAATCAAAAATGAGTCTTGATGTGAATGGAAGGGGAGAGGGAGTGGGAAAGGGGCGGGCTGCAGGTGGGAGGGATGTTATGGGGGGAAGCCATTGTAATCCATAAGCTGTACTTTGGAAATTTATATTCAATAAATAAAAGTTAAAAATAAAAAAAATAAATAAAATAAATACTAAAAGAATAATTAGATATTAAAAAGAATGTTGGTCCCAAGGCAGTAAAATAGTATGTGTATGTCTTCCTCTAAGACTCACATGCATTAGGAGGCCCAGGCCTGGCTGTTTTCCTGACAGTTTTGAGAAAGCCTCAGCCCTCATTGCTTACTGGGCATAAAGGTGCAGTGGACCCTCATTCCCCGTCATAGCCCTCAGCAAGGGAGCCCAGCACCATTAGTTCTCAGGGACACAGAGGATGCAGGAGGCAAAGTGGGAATGTTGGAAACTTTGTCTCTTTGAGTGTAGGACCAGATTGACTAGGATCAAAATGAAAAGTCTCAGCCCCAAAGTATGAGGTGTATAATCTAGGTTCTTAGAGGGACTTCCTAAACCGTAAGTGAGAATTCTGATTTTCTTTAACATTTTCTCTTTATAGGGTTAGTCATCATGTTTACACAACCATTTGCTATACCTCAAGAATAACTGAAGCTCTATAAGGGAGATAATTATTATTGCTCTTTTGCAGAGGCGGTAA